AAACATCACATTTTGAAGATTCCCTCGAACTCCTCGGGTGAGGGACGACTTCTCTTACACTGCTGCAAACATTCTCTGGATCACTAGGCTGAGCCTATGGAACAAGTAACTTGATGCTCTAGTCTAGAGTCTTCAGTAGTTTTAATGTCTGAAAACCAACTCATTCAGGAACTTCAGGGCAATGGTGCCCCAGGCTTCCAAAGTCTCTGATCCTATTGGACAATGCGATATTCGTGGCTTAGGTTCCTTCTGGTTTTCCCCTGAGCTTGCTGCCCTCCTCTCTCCAGATACACTATATATATATATATATATATATATATATATATATATATATATATATATATATATATATATATATATATATATATATATATATATATATATAGGACCACAGGGCTATATATATATATTATATATATATATATATATATATATATATATATATATATATATATATATATATATATATATATATATAATACATATATAGCCCTGTGGTCCCTATGTGCTGGGTAGCAGGTACAGTAGTTGTTAGATCTCTCTTCATGATGTTATTGACTTTATAATGTCTCACATGCTAACCATCATTGACTCCACATACGAGGGCGTAGCTGCCGTGTTCGTCTGCCCTCTTGTTGTTTGTCACGTAGTGGTTTGATCACAAATAGGTCACGGAGAAGTTACCGAATTTGTTTGATTACAAAGGATTTTACCGACATTCCAGTCTCTGTAGCTGGTAACATGTCACTATTGTAGGGTGCAGCATCTTTTGTTACGAGGCTGAACAACACAAGTGGCAGGTGGGGTAGGAGTGGTTCACGAGTGTTCCAGTCCAGTAGGTAGTAAATTGTACCCCACTGGTTTTTTTCTTATCTGCGGCTTCTTTATCATTACGGTAAGATAAGCCAGAGAGAGACCATATTCCAGTCAGTCAATGGCCGAGTCCTCTGCTGTCTTGTCAACTATTCAGATACATTCAGTTGACCCTCATCAATTATTTTAAGCGGACATCCTTATTAGAAGTGCTGGGATATTTATTGTTTTATTTCTTAATATATGTTTACATTATGTAAATCACTGTTCTGGCCAATCGGAAATGTATAACCCTTTTGCCCTCTTTGTAAAAAGGCCACGCTACGCCACTGCCTACATGTGGGAACAGGAAGCACTACCACCTCACGAGCACTGCAAAAGGCAATCTAAGCTTTGCTGTTTTTCACACAAAGTCTGCTCCTTCGTCTTATTACGCAACAGGAGCCTTCACCAGGGTTAGCCTGAGTCACGTATATGGTCGCAGTAGCATTTTACAGAATCCAGCTAGAAAGTGTAATGTTCGTTTATTAAGCTCCTTGTGCATTAAATTTGAACTTATGAGACACATTGATAGTCTCGCGCCGTGAGAGAGCTCCCTACTCCCACATGGAGGTCCCGGGTTGATTCCTGACTAGTGATGTATTGTTTGTACATTATAATGAGGTCTGCGTGCATTTGGACAGTTTGTCCATTTTTAGCCCACGCTGTATTCCTTCGCAACTAGTTGCAAAATGTAATAACTAAATGAAATATCAAGAAAGCCGGAAAATGCCGTCGTAATTAATAAGCAAAAGGGGTAAAACGAGGACTTGGTGTCAGAACCAAAGCTGTCATCTATCATTTATATGTATTGTGTTTATTTTTAGCAATCTACACGTCACGGGCATCATCGTCACTAGAGTACATAAAGATGGAATATATTCAATTTTACCAGAAGCAAAGACAAATTTGTTAGTTTGATGAGGTAAATTACCGTAAGATATAGGCAGCAAATAATGCATAACTTGAGAACAAAAGACAGCTCAACAGTTCTTGGCGGGATGAGGGGAAACTTGGGTGAATAAAACCGCTTCTAAACAGATGGAAGACTGCGGGTTAGAATTGGTAATTATGGAATAACGTCACAAAAAAAACTGTGTAACTAGAAATGGTCTCAGTGTTTCAGAAAAATGTTATTAGAAACATACATACCAAATTCCACTGTATTTCACTCGACCTCCCTAGGAAAGGGCGAAGGCACTGCAGTACACCTGTTTATTAGTGTCTCAGTAACTATAGTAACTGACATAGATATTTGAAGTGATTTTTTTAGCTAATTTTAGATATTACCTATCATTACATAAGAATGATAATTTTTCTTTTCATCAAAGATTCATCCTGTTATAAGCTATATAAATATATCGCGAACAAAATCTGTATTAATTTTCAGCGTTTCTTTTATTAGAACTGGGAGGGGGAAATGTCCTTAGCCAAAGATGGAAAGGGGGGTAGGGTGGAAAAGGTTATAAACAAACCCCTGCATTATACACAATGGCGAAGACGGTATATTATCAGATGTGTTAGTGTTCATTTAGTATTCATACGGCAATCACCATTCCTAAACTAAGTTCGTGTATGAATAACATAAATCCACAACAATATATATTTTCTCGTGAATAATGAAGCATATGTTAAAAATGAGGTCTCGAAATGGAGAGTGCATCACGCAAACCTGACTCAGTTCACCATTTAGGTAAAGTACAATATATTACACCAGATGCTTGATTCTATCGAAGTATATTAGCTTAACGGCCACCACAACAAGACAAACAGTACTACTGTATCGGAGGAATGAGGCCGATGAACTGCCTAGGATAGGCAGCTAGGCTACTGCCGACAATCTCTTCTACGTTTCAACAGTTAAAGGTTTAATTACACAAAATAAAGCTTGCCACGAGCAAAGTACAGAAAGAGCTATGCTACTAAATCATTCCATTATTTATTGCGTTAATACTATACTTATGAATGTAAATATCTTATATACAAAATTAACAGAAATGCCTATCATATCACACCTCTATGCTACCAACACCTGGTTTCGGTGATAAAGTTCATGTCTGGTACATACGAGTATATGCCAAACTATTACTCGCAAGAATAAGTACTGTAATTTAACTAATGGACATATGAATGAAATGTTGTCCGTGATAATTCTCGTCGGCAATTCTTCAACAAAGTTTTTGTAAATGGTCACCATCTTAAGCAAATTTTCCACGCAAACAAGACAATGGAACTTTAAGGTATACTATAAATTTCAGATGGCTGCTGAACGAGTTCATAACACGATAATAAACCCACACCATTCGAGGTTCTCAAAAATACTGATCAAACTTGGCAGGCGAGTCAGAAGGTGTACCACGTATACAAATTCACATTTCGAGAGAGAAAGATGGTTGAGATTCTATGCAATGAAATTTATGTGAAGTTAAAATAGGTCAAAGCTCATGGTAAGGTCGCATGGCCATAAGTCATTTTTACGCAGTGCCAGGCATTTACGCCCTTAATGCATGAGTCACGAAGGCTAGCATAAACTCCACATGCTTCCCAGGATGCAGAGGGGTGCCTAATAAACTAGCCCCCTCGCGGGCCAAATTGTAAAAAAAATGTTTCAAACAGTGTGGATTAAAGAACACAAATTGTACACAGTATGAATTTAAAAATCAAGTTGTACATCTTGTGAGTTTCAGGACAAAAGTTGTACATATACTATATTGTACATAGCGTAGAAGTAAATTGTTTAGGAAGACAAATTGTGCACCAAGGTGTCAGACAGGAAAGTTGTTGTGTTGATCATCCTTCCAGTCCCCTGGTTACACGTCAGGCGACTGTAACAATTATAAGCGTGTAAACCGTTTTGAAAAGTTTCTTCTCGCTAATTAATGCAGTTAACAGCAAACTTTGATGACATTTGGGTTGAGTACAATATTTTACACCCTGAACGATCTTATTGCATCATCAATTATCTTCAATCCTTTCCTTAATTAAGTCAGGCCCATTCATACCTCCGCGAGCTGTGACGTGTCAAAAGAAATATCGAAATTTTAGCGTTCCTAAGACACTTTCCTTTTCCACAGCAAATGTAATCTGACATTTGTGAATATTTCGTTCATAGCTGCCAGAAATGCAATTGTTGCAAAAGATATAATTATCCTAAAATATGGAGCAATTTCTTGAACTCGTTTAGTGAATTACAGTGCAGGATGATGTGACAAAGTTTGTTAGTTGAACCGTGTCATTTATAACCTCTTGTAAGCCGACTTTAATATAGTAAAAACGTTACATACAGTATATAGCTAAAGCTCAGAGCCCGGCACTATTTTATTAGTAAACAGGTGACAACCATTTATGTAAATCATGTGTGCTTTCAGATGGACCACTGCAGTCATCTATGCGCCGGGTGTAGGGTTGAGGCACTTCCCTTACCTCTTTGCCACTGGTCGGCTCACTAAACAATCGGGCGGTTGTTCATTAATTCGTTAAGGCAGAGTCACACTTACTCACTAGCACTTTTTCTGTCAACTTCACGTTTTGTCGGGGTTTTTTTTCCACAAGTTATCAATTTTTCTACAGCGTATCGCTCAGGCGAAACTTATCGTTTCCGACTGATTGGCTTACGCCAAATTGCGCCTATTTCCTTGGTCAAGATAAGATCTATACTCGATAATGAGGATATTTTTTATAAAATAAAAATTGAGCTACGTAAACTAACTAAAACTAACTTTTATTTCAAAATTACTTAGTTTTGATTAAATGTAATTTTTTATTGATGTGTATATTCAAAAATACCTCTGATGTTTGTTTCCCTGTTCATGGCATTGACAAACGCGGACAAACTGGCGCGATAGTTCTCTATGCGTGTGTGACAAGGCGCGCTCATTTTTTTTTTAATGGCGGAAAAGGTGCTAGTGGACGCGCTTTACGCTCTGTTGGCAATTTCCAGGCAAAGACTATAAACAGTCTATGTTTCCAAGCATGTGTGGACTCTTGAATGTATTTGAATATTGCCAGTGTTGGTCAAGTCTGGTCTTATGAGCTCACGCTCGTGTCGTCTACCATTCAGGAATTCATCATATACTAATATAGAAAAAATAATAATTTTAACAAATATTTCATGACTTCATTAACAGCAAATTTCTCCGTATCAACAGAGTTGTAGAGTTCCACTATGATGGGGAAGGTGGCGCTGACCGTCACCTGCCTCCTTACATTACTCGCGTCAGGTGAGTAAACAAGGTTAGGAATTTTTCTCACACTGATAATCTTTCAGTTTCTTCCCTCGTTGTGAATTTTAGATCTCATAGTATTATAATCAGGGTAAACCTAAAACTAGTTCCCTAATCTCGAGATACGTCGATTGATGAACTAAGGTTCTAAATAAACTCGACCTTGTGATGGAAACACATTTTGTTTTGGCCACTATAAACATATGAAGAGTTGCAGGTCATAAAAGATTGAATAATCTGTTTTGATAAGTTATAAAATTCATAATATTTAAGAAGGGATAGTACTGTACATTCTAATATACTTTTAAGATAACAACTTGGTTACATGAGTTTCTTCGCGCTGCTGGCTGGTGTTACAAATGATTTATTAAACAAAAAGATTGTCTCATCACCAGAGCTCAGAGAAATAAGCAGGAAGACCCAGATGAGTGACTGCATGAATAGGACATTATAGGGGTATCGAGATATTTATGTTGTCTAGCACTCAGGATGGAAGGAAACTCTAATGTGGTTTTCTTATATAATATAAGTTATATGATAGACAGTCTGGTGCTGGAGGTGCCGTGTGGTGGGGAGCTGCTCAGTAGAAGACGTTGTGTGAGTAGCGTGTTGAAGGAGGTAGATGTGCAGGAGCTTCGTTAGAGAAGATGTTGCCTGTTGCTGGCCTCCTGATTGAATGAATGCTAACAGCGTGGAGCTTGCTGGAGGAGGTGTTGCTTGTTCAGGAAGATGGGCAGAATGAGAGTTGGTTGGTGAGGAAGCTCAGAGAAGGACAGCTGGTGGGTCGCCATGCTCGCTGGCGGGAGCGAGGACCGCCAGGCAGGCGAGGAGAAGCGAAGGCAGCCAGGCAGCGGCGGAGGAGGAGGTGTTGCTTGTTCAAGAAGAATGGTCAGAAAGAATCTCAATGGAGAGACAGAGCTTATATACCCAGCAGCAGCCGCCAGTCCTCTATGAATCATGTTGGGAAAACCCAGAAAGTCGCCGGTGACTAGTTCCGTTGCTAAGATACGGTAACATCTGGTTGGTTGCTCGGGAAGGCGGTAGCAGCTTGGTGACGCCGCTACGCAGTTGTAAGAAGTTGTAGGGGAGACGTCCACTACAATACTCCCCCTTCCCTCCAGGCGGTGTAGGAGACTTGTTGTCTGTAGAGTTGCTTAGCACATGTGAGGCCGACCGGGCGGTGCATGCCTCATGTGAGACAACGGCGATGGCGTGATGAGTCGATCGCTGAAATACAACTGTCTAGATACACACTATCTGTGGGAGAAGGGAGAAAAAGGGTGTGTGGAGGAGATGAATGTTGTGCTTCCCTCACGACAGGTACAGGGTCGTCAGATGCGCCTGCTGGGGTGTGTGTGGGCCTGGGTCAGGAGCAGGGGCTGCGTCAGCAGAAGCTGATTAGGGCTCGTGACAGCAGCTGGGTCCACGACAGTAGCAGGGTGCAGGACATTAGCAGGAAGTACCTGAGGGAGAAAAGAGGGTGTGTGTGGGGGCGATGAATGTTGTGCTTCCCTCACGACAGGTACAGGGTCGTCAGATGTGCCTGCTGGGGTGTGTGTGTGGGCCTGGGTCAGGGGCAGGGGCTGCGTCAGCAGAAGCGGATTAGGGCTCGTGACAGCAGCTAGGTCCACGACAGCAGCAGGGTGCAGGACATAAGCAGGGAGTACCTGAGGGAGAAAAGAGGGTGTGTGGGGGTCCGGATGCAGGAACAGAGGCAGCATCAGGGGTTGCTGCTGGGCCGGGGTCGCGTCTGAGGCAGGACGGGTGTGCTGGGGTCGGTAGGATGTGGTGCGTGGGGCAGGAAGAGGAGCTGGTGTCTGCTTAGAGTAACAGAGCTGCTTCTGCGTGGATACGCCATTCTTCTATGCTGCTTGAAGTCTGGGAGCGTGATCAGTGTCTCCTCCATCCTGTGTGAGTGCTAATCTCCGGGAGTCACCATTGTAGGGGTATCGAGATATTTATGTTGTCTAGCACTCAGGATGGAAGGAAACTCTAATGTGGTTTTCTTATATAATATAAGTTATATGATAGACAGTCTGGTGCTGGAGGTGCCGTGTGGTGGGGAGCTGCTCAGTAGAAGACGTTCGGTGAGTAGCGTGTTGAAGGAGGTAGATGTGCAGGAGCTTCGTTAGAGAAGATGTTGCCTGTTGCTGGCCTCCTGATTGAATGAATGCTAACAGCGTGGAGCTTGCTGGAGGAGGTGTTGCTTGTTCAGGAAGATGGGCAGAATGAGAGTTGGTTGGTGAGGAAGCTCAGAGAAGGACAGCTGGTGGGTCGCCATGCTCGCTGGCGGGAGCGAGGACCGCCAGGCAGGCGAGGAGAAGCGAAGGCAGCCAGGCAGCGGCGGAGGAGGAGGTGTTGCTTGTTCAAGAAGAATGGTCAGAAAGAATCTCAATGGAGAGACAGAGCTTATATACCCAGCAGCAGCCGCCAGTCCTCTATGAATCATGTTGGGAAAACCCAGAAAGTCGCCGGTGACTAGTTCCATTGCTAAGATACGGTAACATCTGGTTGGTTGCTAGGGAAGGCGGTAGCAGCTTGGTGACGCCGCTACGCAGTTGTAAGCAGTTGTAGGGGAGACGTCCACTACAACATCGTTGTGCTGATGGACTAGACAACTGGGGGTGAATCTAGTGCGCATCAACATCCCAGATCCCGAATACAAAAGTGCAGGTATAAGTTAGACACAAATCTTAACTACAGCAAGTTAATTGACTGCACTTAATGTCTACTTGTCCACTCGCTTAATAATTAGCTAGCAAACACCGAGGGACAAATAATTTCAAGAGTTAGGGAATCCCACGGCACGAGAACATGAACATTTTCCCGGCATTAAGGCAAGAGGCGATCCACCTGTCAATATTGTGGATACTCTAGTTCTAAACAATATTTATATCGCTCTTCGACGAGCCCCCCTCGATGACAACGATGTTTGGTTAAGTAATGAGCGAAAAATGCCCAAAACTCCGCACTTAAAATGAAGAGCCTTGTGCGTATACGGATACACCAACCAAAATGTCTGTTGAGATTAACGAGACATACTATAGAGCCGAGATGTCTTCTTTTTTGGGGGGTATAATGACTTACAGGCGTTTTATAGAGAGTGGCTCTAAACGGTGTAGAAACTGATTGGAAAAAGGTTTAGAGTGTAATCCCACACGTGCCCATCTTCCAGGTGAGGTTTGCACACCTTATTCTAAATATTTTCGGAGACTTCCATTGAGAAAGTTTAGGTTAGGTTAAATTATTTCAGCACGGCTGTAATCTCAGCTTGCCACACCGGCCTGGACTACTGTATTAGGGTGTGTCATAGGAGGGAAGATCAGCTAAAACTAATGGCCCATCACTTTTTTGGTAGATTTTAGTGTATATAAACAGAAAATAATTTCAGTTTCAATATTTTGCAACCTTTTGCTAGGTAAATTTTAGCGTGAAATTTATCGAAAATCTAACGTACAGCTGCATTAGTGCATTACAATTAAATAGTGAACATTGCTTTCTGACTTCATTCTTTAACAACCCAACTAACAATATTTTTTTCTGTTTCAGATTCTCATGCATTTATAAGTTGATAATATTTGCGATGGCTGCTTGTGTCAGGACGAGGAACCAAAAATCCAGCCATCTCAGTCACTATCTTGGGTCTGGGAGAGAGCTCCTGAGGTCGGAGTTGCCTACATTGAGAGATGCTTTGAGATACGGTGTTTTAATCAGGCAAATCAGTGAAAAGAACCAAAGAACTTACAAAACAAAGACATTGCCAGTGATATGACCAAAGCTGTCTTGGCACAGTACACTCTGGCTAACGCTCAGTTCAAGCCTCCAGTCATAACAAGTCAGAAGAAGATTAGTGAGAGACTGCTAGCCAGTTGGGAAAAGGCAAGAGATATCTCTCTTGGGAGAGGAAAACTTGCAGTTAAGAACAGCTTTGCCAAGCAACTGGACCAGTTATTTGACATAATTACTTGCAAGTGCCCAATTGTTCTCTGTCCTGAGTTTGGATGCGATCGTGACTGTAAATCCGAGGCCCACATCTTCTGTATTTGCAAGCGTGAACTGAAGATTCCTGTGATCGAACTGGCATTTGTCAAAGCACACAGAGAGAAGACTGGCAGTATAGTGGCTCTCATGATTTCTAGCCAAGATATACCGGAGTCCAAGAGACAGGAGGCTGCCACAGAGAGACAAAAGAGGGGAAGAGTTGCCGAGGAAAAGAGACTTGAGAAGGCCCAGGGTGAGGTAAAAAAGGCCGATGATTGGAGTCAAGCTGATTCAGAGTTTAATGACTTCCCCATGGCTGATCCGAGTGCTGACCAGGAGAATGGTGACTTTGTCCCTAACCAGAAAATAATGATCCCAAACCTTCCAGGCATAAGATTCGAAATAGGAAAGATATCCCGAGCATAGCTCTGGCCAGCATGCGACACCACACTGGTCTCAGAGAAACTGCAGAGATAGCAACAGCTGCCTGGGTTGACGGTGGTTTGATAACACCTGATGATGTTCACCTGGTGATAGATCATAACAAAGTAAGGAGAGCTCAGGAGAAACTTGTCAGTACCCTAGAAGAGGAGTTTGATAGGGGGATAAGAGAAAATGGAATCAATTGTTTGTTCTTTGATGGGAGAAGGGATGACACTAAAGTGTTCATGAAAGTTGGAGATTCTGACAAGTTGTTCCCTGCCATGGTGAAGGAGGAACACTACTCCTGCTGCAGTGAACCAGGAGGGAAGTATTTGTGGCATTTCACTCCAGAGAAAGATGACATCAGGAAACCAGCTGAGATAATGGCAGATAACATTGTGAACTGGCTCAGAGAGAGGAACGTAGACCAGACCCTGCAGGCCATTGGAGGGGACAGCACCAACACGAACACAGGGCGGCAAGGGGGGGGTCATACAGTGGATAGAGCGCAAGATTGGGAGGAAGCTGGTCTACCAGACCTTCCACACCAACGAGTTGCCACTGAATCTGATTCAGGAGCTGGATGGCAAGAC